TGTGTTATCAGCCCATTTTCTGGCGTTAATTGTTTGGATGAAAATTACGGATCTAAAACTAAAAGACAAACAAAATTTTCTGACCGCATCAAGGGAAATGAGGACATAATCAGGTTCAGCAATCATTAAAAAATACCTGTTATTAGGTTGATTTTCATGCATTTTCCAGCACTTACCCCGGAATATAAATTCTCCGAAAATCAATTAATTTCCTGCAAAAGATAGTTGTACAGTGTGTTTATTTCAGCATTTCTGATTTACCGGATGTTGTCTGAAACTATATGTGAAAACAGTCACACTAAGTTTGCGGTCATAGTCAATCTGAAACATTATCTCTCTTAGACCTCAAAGTTAATTTTTAGTTTTTCAGTGGTAATCTTACAATATAAACACCATATGTTATCTGAATCAGATAACTTTGAGATCATGAGGAATGTAATGAAACTATCTAGCTGCAATAAACTATCCTCATTTTTGCATGACGCTTGCAGCATCCAAGAAAATAAATGTTTTTTGTCAGTCCAACATGATATATCAGCAGATCAAGTCTCAGGGGCTGTTATGCAAAGGATGATATTCCTACCTTCTAATTCACTCAGTTAGAACCATATCCACTATCAGCTCTAACAAGTTGCATTTTTCAAGTGACGTGGCCACTTTGTAGCCAAGTTCGAGCTGCCTACTGCATGGGTAGGCGTATTTCCAATATGTGCATACGTACTTACTTACCTGCTTTGTTACTCTACGTGAAAAATCAGTCGCCGACCAGGTTTTGACAGCTAACCCTCTCCTATACTTTCCACACAAGTTATTTTCATGTACGATCCATTCTTTAATATCCATCTTCGATCCTCTACAAAATGTGTTGCTTTATTTTTGACTTTTCCTTAAGCCTTGAGGACTTCAAGTCAGGGCTTTCCTTGTGACGCATTCGGGTGAGCTTTGTATTATCTATCCTATACACGTCGTATGCACATATATTATACAATTGCTAAGACCTTAATCACATATTGAATCTTTGCTTAAAGATCTGATTGATGTGCTGTACATTAGGACTGATCAAATCAATTTATTATAGTTAGTATATATATTACAGGTGTCGGGATGCTAACCAATGCAGTTGATACTGAAATCATTACAACTCCACATGACAGTGTTATTGCGGATTTTAACGACTAAGCTTCTGAATTTCATGCGTTGCATAGTAACCTAAGAGAAAGGATAATACCTAATAACGGATATAGGAATAGACCTGCTGTCTAAACTTTTTATTTGAGATGAGCTTCTTCCTAGAGGTTGAGACGACTAGAAGGGAATGAAATATTTATTCATTTGGGATTATCAAGCCATCTGTCTATTTAGAATATGGCTACTTTGCCTAGACTCAATAAATTTAAAGCGATAATCCGCATTAAGGTGGAATTAGTCATAGCTTTGAGACTGTCGGATGCCATTATAGTTGGATTGTTTCGTCTAAGATTTAAGTTTCATGAGATTAACTGGGTTGAACCTAATCCCAAATGTTTTAAAAATACATATAATTTACTCAGAAACCTCTGTATGCATGGTCTATCTCCTCATTAATCAAAAGTAACAGACTATCTTCCAACCAGCGTAGTGTAGTGTAATTGAAATGACGAGTCGGAATGAAGCAAATTCAAAGAGACACTATTGAAACCCCATTAAAACCAACCCCTGAACTTGCTTATGCTGTCTGTTAAACCGACAAAAGTTTTTACTTTATATTCAGTGGTTTTTTAAAAACGAGCTGTGTGGATATGGTATAACTTCTACTGATGTGTGGATGCATGGAGTAATAGAAAAGACAAGTAATCCCAAAATAATCGTCAAGCGTTTGAATGAAAAGAACAATTAGGGTTTGGATTTTTTCGGACGAAATAGAAGGAGTTTTTTCGAATACTAGCAGAACATCGATAACTCGAGTTGTCTGAATAACAAGAGAAGATTAGTGAACAGCAATGATATACTGTCTCAGGTCCTTAGGAATGAGACAGGTTTCTCTGAGGTCTCATGAGATACTGCATTCACCACTTATTCCGACAGGGAGTGATATGTTACTAGTGGAAGGACATAAAAGAAACTTTCATTGATGAAATGCATTCGTGGGGAATTTTCACAGACAGGAAGTACTACAAATGAATATCGATAAATCCTTAAAGACCCGGAGTGGACATTGTTTGCTGTGGTGACTCCACTAATTTGAATAAAACGCGATTGGTTGAATAGAAACTTTCATTATTATAACCAATCGTACCAGTGGTTGTTTTACTGAAATTTTGTTTATTTCCACTTCTGTGCACGCACTTACCGCTTGCTTCGTTGCCATCTTGCTTTTGTCGCTCTATAACTTTGCCCATTTTCCCTGGAACGATTTCGGTATTCTGTCGATACCACGAAATTGCCAGCAAATAAACTCCTGGATCTGGACCATTTTGTTCTTTCTTGTATTTGGTTTACAACAGAACTGGGATTATAGGGGCGGGAACGTATCGAGTTTGTAGTGGTGTGCATGCTGAGACTCTCTTTTCACACTCTGTCACCCCTTCCTATTGCCATTGAAAAAATATCACTATGTCGGCTCATGATATAGTTTAAGAATAACAAGAATGATTAGACAGGCCGCCGAAATCTTGTGTACGACAGAAGCAGAAACATTTGTGTTCTCTACCATTTCTTGGCTGATAACACTTGCTGACTGATATTAGAAATAACTTAGCACTTCGGTAGAAATTATGGTAACCATTTTGAATGAAGTAGGTATCAAGGTTCAGATTATAGTGTACCTCAATATTTATGAGAAATCGACTTCATAATCAGTTTCTTTTCATGCAGTCAAACTTCAAAAGTGTTGATAACACATTTATTAGAAACTGTAAAACTGAACACTTATAGAAAGTCTTGATGTTCATGTGAAGCGTAGAAAGAGGTCCTACCTTGTTAATTTGAGTACACTTCAAGATATATAATTGAAACACTAAGATTGTAAGTAAACAGAACCTTGATATTAGTAAAGAATAACAACTTACCAGTGGTGTTATGTATCTCCAATAAGATGTAACATGATCCAGTTTAAAAAGTGATCATTTATATTGGCTAATTGAGAGATACGCAATTAAAATGCAGTAAGCTTACATGGCTTTTGCCGTAGCTGTTGGTCTAATGAAGTTAAATAGCTGTCGGTCACAGATCGATTTATTATAAAAATTCAGTGGGAGGAGTAAAATATTCAGTATGTGAGTGTGTATTCACAGATAATCTTCTGTACTCCAAAATATAGAATAACTGAATACATTGTTACGAAAATATTTTTGATATCCACTATTCTCCCTGGACCATGTATGGTCATTCAATTCATTATTGCTCAAGGTATTATAATCGAATAGTTCCTAACGTTTTCTTTTCCACCTCTTTTTTCAGTTTCCATGTGTTCATATATTTATTTACTTTGTCGGACTAATTTTACGTCCTAATCTTGGGGAGTTGTTCTCTGTCTATGTATCCACACCAATATTTTTTAATTATATACGGCTACGGACGAGCCAGCTTTCTGGTAAGCTACTGGTTCCAGTGACTCTGCTACTATGATAAATACACTTTCAGTAACACGAAAGGTCAACTAAAGATTGGAAAACTATCAAATCCTTCAAGACAAGTACTTGCAGCTGCTAGATTATCTTCATTCAATACTACTCTAGAAACAGGATTAAACCCTAGACAACAAATGATTCACAGTAGTTCTTCACAGAAATATTTTAAATTGAAGCTGCTTGTACCCATAATCCTTACACTTTTGAGACAAACTCTCGCACTCAATTTACAGGAGACAAGTGCATACGTAACTGATTACTATCTAGAATTAGTTCAGTCAGGTGGCCAGGACTATACCTAACGGCTATAATAAATACCTGAAACCGCACAGAAGCAACATGGAGCGAAAGCAAAGCAATCAATTGGTTTAGACTAGCTCATGAACAAGAATTATGACATATTGGATATTGGACTGCCATGTGCACCGGTATTTTCCTGCTTGGACCATAAAATACCGGTGCACGTAATATTTCGTGACATCGCGAAAGCCTTTGACACAGTACCCCACGCACGCCTAATCGAAAAGGTTGTGGTAATGGCCTTCACCGACTCACTCGTATCTCGGCTGAGAAACTACCTTAAGAATAGAAAGTTTCATACCAAGGTAAACAGAGTGCACGCGAGCTTGCGAGTATCCACATCGGGAGTTTCACAGGGGACCATTTCGGTCCCACTTCTTTTCCCGATATTAATTAAGGACCTGTTAGGCTCAGTTAGCCCACCGGCATTCACCTACGCAAAGGAAAGGAACGAGCTGAGCTTCAAAAGAACGGTTCAAAAATCCGCCAACCGAAGATAACTTGGTGCTATCACCCTATAACTATTCTTAACACCATTTAAGACGTATGCGCGCCCACATCTGGAGGTTCATAACGTCAACGCACCCCCTCTGCTTAAAAGAGACATAAATCTCTTGGATTGAGTGCGGAGGCGAGCAACCAAATAGGTGATAGGGTTGAAAAATAAGCCTTACGAAGATAGACTCTAGCACTTGGGATTATTTCCACTGAGTTACAGGAGAATCAGAGGTGATTATGACGTACAACATATTAAGCACGCGAAATTATCTCAAAGTGAGCATGTTATTGATGCATCACCACTACTTCCCTCGAGTTAATCCCGAAAAATTGCACATCAAAGAGCGAATACTCAGGTTTATGGACACTTTTTCTCATTGAGAGTCATCGCAACTTGGAATGCTCTCCTAGCCTAGGTGACCACAGCCCCCTCAGTTGACAGCTTCAAGAAGAAACTTGATAATGACGTACTCACATACGGATTATCATCTACCTCTTGGACAAGCTGTTCATGATGCATATCTTAAAATCAATTGGTTTGTACTAGCTCGTGGAAAAGATATTGGATTGGATATTGTATGTGTTTGGCTCAATGTCATCTTCAGGGTCACATCTGTCGTGGATTTTTAAGCTGTTTGCTGGTGAGATGTACTCTCAATAGTTGTACGAGAGATTCCTGACTGCAACGGCAATTTTATATAAACTTTTTCCGTGATATGCTACTATCGATCACTGTTCCGTATTCTACTGAGACATATCAGAGACAGTTCCTCAATTCTTCTACCCAACTTTCAACCATTCCGAATGTATTGCAATACCCCGAAAAGTCAATAGTAATGTTTAACGGTCTACAGACTGCACAATCTATAAGATGTACTAACCTGGTCCCAAGAACAGGTCTTCCCCTCATAATTGGCGGTCCTGTTCTAGCAATCAACAAATCAACTTTTTCCCCTACTGAATATGAGAGTTTACAGAGGCTCAGAAATGGGTTCTCTGTTCAGCCCAATTTTGTTCAAAAGATGTATGTGCCTGAAAAATCTCTGGGATATGGTGCTTTTGGTGTTGTATGGTAATATCGTATATTCTTGTTATTTTGCAGGTTAGTTGTTGACCCACGAACAGGGAATCAGGTTGCTCTCAAGCGAATCCCGAACATTTTCGAAAGCATTGTATCTGCTAAGCGGGCGTACAGAGAATTAAAGCTACTGTTCTCCCTGAAACATTTAAATGTAACCATACTAGTTTTTTAATCGCTCTCTAGATTGTTAGCCTAGTAGATGTCGTGAAAGTTAGTTACTCTGCGTTCAGTGAAATGTACGTCTCTTCCTTTTTGTTCTTAATTATTTAGCTCTGTTCTTTGCGAATATATGGACACTGATCTACAGAAAATAATCGTGTCCGCTCAATATTTGTCACTTGAGCATGTAAAACTGTTTGTTTACCAGATACTAAGAGGTAAGTCCAGTTTTTCTCATTTAAATATCAGGGTTAAAATATCTACATTCCGCTGGTGTAATTCATCGGGACCTAAAACCAGGAAACCTCCTGGTTAACGCTGATTGTTTATTAAAGGTTAGCTCATTCATTTTGGTCATTTTTTAAGAAAAAAAGGTTTTCGTTAGCTAATTTAAACTGTGGAGATATTTAGAGTTTATCTCATTTGCTTGTTAAGTAGTTGAACAGCAGTACGGTAATTTTTATTTCAGTTATTAGTTTGAAGGGGTCCAGTTTTCTAATGTATGAATAATTAGGTTGCTTAATTTCAATAAAGTTATTTTATCAAGCCGTTCCAAATCAATGACTAACTTTGTAGTCGTTGAATGTTGGTAAGGAACCTCTACAGCATGTAAACACAGTCGATTTTGCGACTTACAAAATCTAGTGTTCTAAAAGGTTTTATCTTTGGTGAAAAATCCTGATTCGCTCACATTTGGACTACCGTTGAACTGTGCGGTTTGGTGAGAAAAATAGGCAGACACTTGTCCATAGACCTTTTGCAGAGTAACATAAATTTTGAGTCTTTATTCGCCTTATCAGTTAAAACGAATATATTTGGTCTGACAAAGTAAACACAATCTGTTGGGAAATTCATTTAGAAGTGTAATTAAAGCTGACAAAGTGAACGTTTAACGTCATGACTCATATGGATATCGTAATTATCTTTGTGTATAGTTCTTTCCTTTCGATAAAAAGTTAATAGTTGAAAAACAAACTTATCAATCACTTGATTCATGAAACTATGAACCCAGCGTTTAATTCAAGTCATAGTAGCTTCTAAAGAAAACGAAACTAAGTGGCTAAAGTTAAATATAGCTTTATATACCAATGATTTTACGCGAGACGTACATGAAGATGGAGGCTTTAGCAGTAGGTTTACCAAAACTAGCATAGGTTAGGTTAGTGACCAAGACATACTCATTTATAGCCCCTAACCTCGTTACATCAACGTGCACTTCGGTAGTCGATAATGTCACCAGACGTCACCTGTGAGACATAAACTAAAGCTGCCTGGGAAACACCATGACAAGATCCTTCCGAATAACTTGTTCATAATTAGTTCCAACGGCGTAAGTGGGTCTGTTGTCTGTATTGCTCCGCTTTATCCTATATTCTTATTTTTAGCGTTCGTTTTTTAAAATGTAGATTTGCGACTTTGGTCTCGCTCGCTCAGTACCATCTTTTGGTATAGAAAGCTCTCGCAACCCATTAACGCTTGAAGTTGTAACTCAGTTCTATAGACCACCAGAACTACTTTTAGGTTCAAATTTTTATACAGCTGCTGTCGATCAATGGAGTGTTGGCTGCATACTCGGAGAACTTCTGTGTCGCCAAATTCTGTTTCAAGTTAGTTAAATACTTGTCACTTTTCACTGATATTCTAACGTTCCCTCGAAGTTCCTCACAACCTAGAGTTTCATGCATAAATTCTTACACTATCTTTCTAATGCCGAAATTTTGAAGATATATCTCAATTTAAACTCTGACTCATGCTTCAATTCAGTGGCTTTTATCTCATGATCATATTTTTCTAATCGTTTACCCAGTACACATCTGTGTCGTATGCTGATAATTAACTGGCAACATTATCATGTCTGCGTCATAGATATCGTCAGTCAGTCAGTTACAACGTATAACTTCGTACGTACGTACATCAGTTCAAGTTATAACACCACATTGGCATACATTCGGAATTGTCAATTCTAACCTTATAGTCGTAGAGGCAGTAGAAATATTAACAGTAATCGGAGAAGACTAGGAGTCGATGATATTATTGTAGAAGTATAATCGAATGAAATAAATTTAACAAAAGGGATAGATAAAGATGGTGAAGAATTCAAAGATTAGGATTTGAGAGAACACAAAGAATAGATGCACCTGCACCATTGCAAACGGTTTTTAGCCATGTCATTCAAGATCTCCAACCATCGATTACTATCATCTCGCGGACTCCAACTAAGTAGTCTACACCTGACATTGCTCAGTGCAGTTGTCAATGAATTCATGGATTTGCTCATTGGAGCAGTTGGTGGTTGGACATTCGTAATAAGTGTCACACTCACCTCAACTGATGTAGTTTCGCTGTTTCATGCCATCCTTACCTAATAACCTTTTCCAAACAACAGCATTGCTTACCCGGTGGTCACAGGATATATAAGCAATGCTTTGAAGACACCTACAATTAAATACTAGTAACTTTTGAATATCCTCTACGCCTACTGACCATGTTTCACACCCACATAGTAGGACGAAGTGAACCGCTGCACAGTAAACTCGTCCCTTGGTTAGCATGCGGATATTTCGCTTAACGCAAGTTGGCTAAGGCTAATCCAGCCTTCTGTATCCGTGCTGAGATTTCATCAGACACTAGGCCATCAGCACTGATGAGACTCCAGAGACGATTGAGATGGTCTACACTCTTCAGTGTTAGCTCAGGTGCAAATTCAAGCTAATCCTGAAGCATTATTTTTCATTTCGAGGGTGAGAAATGCTTCAGGAACATGTTTGCATTGTTGCCTAAGGTGGTCAGACGACTGCGTCTTCACCAAGTAGAACTATGTATGTCATCAGCACAATCTAAGTCAACGAGCAGATCTGGTAAAAGTTCAACTTATGAAAATTCAAATGATGCAAGTATCGTACCTAAAAGCACATTAATGACGAAGTTAAACAAGAATGGAAAAAGTGGACAGTCCTGCTGTACACCACTTGAAGTAATCAATTCCGATGATAGTTCGCCATAAACTGTGACTCGACCAGTAATGTTCGAGTAGAGAGCTAGTATAATGTCAATGTACTTCTTTGGTACTCCTTTCAGTGATAGGACCTCACAATGGCTAGAATCAAATGCCACTTTAAGGCCCAAAAAGACAACTATTGTCGGACGCCGAAATGTATGTCTGTGTTGTAGGACCTGTCTCTGTGTGAATATTTGGTCTATACATTCACGTCCAGGTCTGAAACCAGCCTGGTTTTCTGTAGTCTTCTCCCCCCGAACTCTAGTTAGGCGTCGAAGTATTGGTAAAGCTAATATTTTGGACAATATATTAGTTAAACTGATTCATCTGTGATTGTCACAAGAAGACTTCTTTCCTTTTTTGTCGACTTTGGACAATCAGTGGTTGAGACTAGTCAGATGGGATTATGCCCAGTTCCCAGATTCTACCTGAGATCTTAGTCAATCTGACTGCTAAAACTGGACTACCATCCTTAAAAATCTCAGGGGTAAGCCTATCAAGCCCTGCTGCTCTGTCTCGTTTTAGATTTCCTACAGCTTTCTCAACCTCATAAAGAGTTGGATGACTTACATCGATTTGCCATTCAGGATGACTGGATATTGTGGGCAACCGAAGTGTGGCTGAAGGCCAGTTGGACTGATGCCTAAAGTGTTCTGCCCATCGATCCAATCTCCTGGATTGAGAGTGAATAATAGTTCTATCCTTTTCCAAGATAGTCTCACATTCGGGTTCGTAATACCATAGGCGTAGGAAGGATTTGATTGTGACCAATTTCGTCTCGTGTGTTTTTACGGGTATGTGAGCGGTTGTCACTTCACAACTGCCTACACTGTGGAAGGTTACTTCCTGTGGAATCTGAAAAGGATCGTTATCACAAAGTCCAAGAGACAACTGCATGAGGCAGGTGACGCACGGCCTTCTTATGAGACGTTTTTAAAGTATTAGCTCCACTCTTGTTTTGAAAACCTTACCGCTGGAGACGAAAATCCGTATGGTAAGGTGAGATGTGAAATTTTTAGGATCGAAGTTTTCTAACCCGTTCCTTCCTTGTGAGAAGGCAAGGTGATGAGGGAGTGTAAGGATAGTTAGTCGTGGAGATAAGATAGATGTTAGGGGGTGTAGGAAAGATTTGTTTGTGACCAATTTGGTTTCGCGTGCAACATCGCTGCAGATGCTGGTTGTCCGAGGGAAACATCGTACTGCTGTCACACCCCTCTGCAGTCAGCAGTACGACTTCACCCTCAGACCTTGAGTTGCTGCTTTTAGTCTCGTCGTTCTCCGATCGACCTGTCTGACATGGTAGAACCTACGGGAACATATGTTCCGGACAATGTAGCACGGATGCAGAAAGCTCGATTAGCTTTTGCCAACCGTCGTCATTTATGGCGTAGGCGAGATATCCTTTTGCTAACCAAATGTCGAGTGTACTGCGCACCAGTTCGCTCTATCCTCCTATAGGGATGCGAAACATCGCCGGTAAGAGTAGAGGTGGTTGGGACATGTGTTACGAATGCCCAACCACCGACTGTCTCGACGAGCTATGTTTTGTGGTGTAGGTTTAGGCTGGAAGAAAGTTAAGGGCGGCCAGACCAAAACATGCAGAAATCCACGAAGTCACTGACAAGTGGACTGAGTCATGTTGGTAGATGTAGGCTATCTGGTTGGAGTACACGAGACGGAAGTTATCGATGGTTAGAGACCTTGAATGACATGTCTGAAAATCGTTTGCGATGGCGCAGGTGCATCCACTCGTTGTGTTCTCTCAAATCCCAATCTTGTGGATTCATCAACACTTCTAACTTTGTCTTTCTAAAGTTATCTCACTGAATTATGCTTCTTGAATATTATCTTCAAATCCTAATCTTCTGCATTAGCAGTCATTCTTCTACTATCTCTTCCAATATGGGATTTGAACTGACAATTGCGTCTCTGTGCTAACGTGGTATGGCAACCTGGACTGATGTACTTACGTACGAAGTTCTGCGTTTTAACTGACTGACTGACTTTCAATATAGCTCAGTCGGGTCATCACAATAGGCAAGCCCGACCACCACGTCAAGGTAGCAGTAACGATCGGGGTTATAGACATGGGTATATATTCATGAATTTCGCTTTAATCGCTTAGGTTTTGAAACCTCACAAAACGAGCAAATTAAAATACAAAAATTGCCCATTGTTCAGTTGCATACCGAGTATTCTTATTCATTTCGTCAAAACGGCCACTTTTGAAAAGAAACGAACGTTTTTACAAATGCTGCAGTCATTAGTTACAGTTCTAACGACACAACCTTTTATTTATTGATGTTTCTGAGAAAAGATCTTTGTCGTGCAAGGTTTCAGAAACATTTTCTTATCTAGTACCAATAGGTCTGAAAGCAGTACCCTGCGTTTTGTGTGGATTGTGTTTGACCTCAGTGCTCTATTAGCCACGATGCAAAACGCTTTCCGAAAATTCAATTTTTAACCCAATTATTGTCACATGGCATGTTGATCAGTTCCACAATTATGGAAGCCGTCACCCCACCATGCCTTACACGTCACGTTTATACAAATGACACTAATATAGCTGCTGCTTTGATGCTGTGGGGAAACCTACTTGTTCTGACGGTCTGATTAAGCCATATCGCCTAGAACTATCGTTCCTTGTTCTACCACAAAAACCAAGTAGGTTGTATGGTGGTAAGATCAAATTCAGCGAACGTAAGATCTGTAGGAGCAGTATTACTATCGATATTTTTTTGCGGATACCCAACACCTCTAGTGATATTATCTTTTCACGAATGAAAGAGGGTATAGAAGTGGCTGGCCTAAAAATACCATGTTACCCTACCTCAGAGATTTCCAGTGCTAGTGGTAAAATCTGGAAAGTAGGGAGCTGTTGCACTGAAAAGTATTTAAAAAATGTACATTCTGTAGCCAACTCTACTCCCACGCTTGAGTTTTAAGTTCAATCTGCCAGGGTAACGAAACGTTCACTGTCAGTCCAGTTTCCTTTCCCAGTTATTCAGCTAGGACTTCCTTTCTATGGTGGTGAATCATATATTCACCTCTTCCTATATTTTAAATATTGAATGTGGCGACTTGGGTCGTTTCACATTTATTCCAGCTTATATACTGACGGACCTTCTATATCCATTTATTTTTGCTTACTTTCCGTTACATAGGCAAGGTTATTTTTGTATTTAGAGACAGTATGCTGCTTCTCCATCGGACATACGTTGACACAGTCATCCAGTTAAGATCAGGCAAAAGTATCACAGTTTAGTAAATTTATGAGAAAGCTATGTGTGTGAAAAGGTATTTTCTCATACATATCTTCCGGTTTTCAAGTTCTAAGTAAAGAGGAAAACCGGAATGTAAAATTTGGTGTATAGATATGACGTCTAGTCATATAAACCGTGTGATCTAGACTGAGGAGATAAAACCTGAGGATGAAATGTTCTTGTCATATGCAAACATGGAACTGGACGGAAACAGAAGAATTTAGTTAAAAATAAGATATGGAATCAAAACCGTGTTTATAAATTAAACATTCGTTTAAATCACTATTTACTTACACCTGTCACTACTCCTAGTGATGAAACATAGGTAGCCAACGAGGATTCGCCAACCAACTCTGTTTTGAACTCTACCCAGGTGATATTAATTCTTCAAATGCCTATCTACAATTGTTAGCGCAATTAGTCAGTCAGTTACAACGTAGAGCTTGGTACGTACGTACATAAGTTCAGGTCGCCTTGCCACATTAGCACAGAGACGCAAATTCCGTAATGGGGGAGATAGTCTTTCTCTTCTCCTCTGGCTAACCAGAAGAATTATTTAAATTCTGCTCTAGGAGGTAAAAGGTTTCAAACCATACAATCGATCTAGGGAAATTGATTCTCATCACAATTCACTCAAAATTAGCTAGTATCTTATCAATAATTAAACTTTTTAGTTATTGGTTAGATAAATTTCTGAGTTTCTTTGCAAAATACATCATCTTAGATTTTTTTTCATTTCAGTCTTCCAGCTCATTTCGTCAGTTGGATATGATATTTAATCTACTAGGGTCACCAAGTGCAATGGAATTAATCGACTTAGTTGGTTTCCCTTCATCCAGTATAGATTTTATCCTTAAATGTCCTGTAAGAGCGTTTAATCATGCTGCTGTGTCAAGAATACTCGTTCCAGCTAATACTCAATATTTTCAGTTCTCTACAGGAAGTCCACCTGATCCTGATTTAGTTCAGCTATTTACGGGACTTCTAAGTTTTAGCGCAGTAAGCAGACCATAATTTTCATTGTTTATACGGTATTGATGTCTTCTCTTCGCTCAGGGATATAGAAGAGAGTGCTGCTATTTTCTAGGCAGTCTCCCACTTTCTATAATTGTTTTAATATATAGAGAATATGTGAGATCGGGCATTTGTCTTGTAGTACTGTCATAATGCTCAAATTCGCAGTTGTGTAAATTACAACCTTACTAGAGTAGTATATTGCTCCAAGGCTTTGTCGCTAAGGTCATATCAGTTCTTAGCCACCTGTAAATATTAACCAGAAATCTGATAAAGGTTAGTCTTCCAACCCCTGAATCTCCAGTTACAGCTGGTAGTGGGAAGAGTCCACCCTCTCTCGAAATACTTTCACATGACCATGTGTGCATAGTCACAGCCATTGCCTTATGACGGGGGTGCTCGCAAAATTGTAAGGACAAAATGCTGGTGTCCGATGTCTAAACAGGATTAATGAACATGGGAAACCCACCTAGGAAAATTGGAAAACTTTGGTTCGAAACAGGATCCTGACGGAACAAATAGCTTACGAACCCATTGTTGCACCACGGCTACCATTAGATTGCACCTTCTAACTTGATTCCACTGTCTTACGAATTAGATCTTTAGGTTAGAGAATCGGGGAATGCTTTTTGAAGGAAGTCACCTACTTCAGTTTCAGCTCCCTTGGAGTATCTTATCCCACACATGAATTCAATGATTTGTGTGATGCATATATGTTTAGGTACCCCTTTAAACCGATAATAACTAAATAAAACAGTTATGGTGTACTTCATTGTTGCGCCTTATTCGGTTGTACAATTTATTGTGATGGATTCACTATGAACTTGTATTAGATCCAACTATTTATCCGATGAATTGATTTCTTAGGACAATTAGAAAGTGCAGTGAAAGTACAAAATTCATCCGCCTACGAAAGTGCAGATCCGAATCTCACTTCATCTACTTAGGCTTGGGCAATCGATTAGTAACCTCCATACTCATATTTTGAACGTGTTTTGATGTCATATACATGAATCTGTACCTGGTATGTGAATTTAGACCTAACTCAGCTATGAGAGATGACTACTTGAGGAATTCGAAACCTTGGGACAAACACGTAGATGTGACTATTTATTGTTGTGGAGCTACATACACAGCAGGAAACAAAACAGCTGACCTGATTATCAGCGATTCTTTAACTACTGATATCAGTTTATAATAAGATAGCCTTCACACTTTACAAATTCCACGTTTCGCTTTTATCCTATCCAAAGATATTAATACATAAAGTTAATGAGCATACTAATTGTCACCCTTTGTGTACCTCGTGTAATGTTTAAATCTTAAATTTTTTAGCGTTGTCAGGTGCTTGACAGTTAGGTTAAGTCCTAACCCTTTTAAGCACCATCGTTTAATTAGTCTGCCAGCCTACGCGGTCGTACTAGTGCATGCCCTGAATCTAAATGTGTGCTCCAGAATGATCGACAGTCTTCAGTGGAGCCTCTCCTCAGGTGGCTGATAGCAATGTGATCTAGTTGGGTTCATCTTCGGGTCGATTTTGAGGATCGTCATATCAAAATATGTTTGTCTTAATGCTTAAATTTAGTATTTGCAGGCAATAGACGGTTATCTTAGCATAGTTGCAGCAGATGGTCGTCATCATCTGTTTAATCAGCCTCCTAGGTGTATTTCAGTTTAACTTAGTCCATCTTCTTGAGCAGTAAAGTCACCAGACATATACATACATACATACAAATACAACGCAGAACTTCGTACGTAAGTACATCACTTCAGGTTGCCATGCCCCATCAGCACAGACGCAACTGTTAGTTCAAATCCAAAAGTGATAGTGATAGTAGAAGTATCACTGGTAATGGAGAAGATTAGGGAGCGAAGATATGATTCGAGAAGTATAATTTTGGAAGGAGAAAGGTAGAGATTAGGAGGAATTCAGAAGGTTAGAATTAGAGAGAACACAAACAGTGGATGCACCTGCTCCATTGAGAACGATTCTAAGCCATGTCGTTCAAGGTCTTTAACCATCGGCGACTTTCGTCTCGCGGACACCAACCACGTAGCCTACATCTACCAACATGACTCAGTCCACTTGTCAGTGACTTCAAGGATATCTGCCATGTTTTGGTTTGGCAGCACCTAGCTTTCTTCCAACCTACTCCTACACTGCAAAACATAGCTCGTCAAGGCAGTCGGTGGTTAGGCATACGTAACACATGTCCCAACCACCTTAACTGATGAAGTTTCAATACTTCATCAATTGATCTGCCATCCTTACCTATTACTCGTTTCCTAATGGCAGCATTGCTTATACGGTTGTCCCATGATACACGAGCAATGCTTCGGAGACATCGATGATCGAATACTAGTAACCTACGAAAGTCCTCTACTCTTAACGTCCATGTTTCACAGCCATACAGGAGAATGGAGCGAACTGCTGCACAGTACAATCGTCCCTTCGTCAGCAGACAGATATCTCGCCTGCACTATAGGTGACGCAGGTTGGTAAAAGCCAATGGAGCCTTCTGTATCCGAGCTGAGATTTCGTCAGTCACCAGGCCATCAGCACTGATGAGACTCCCCAGGCAAGTGAAGCGGTCAATACGCCCGACTACTTCACTCCCTATCACTAGTTCAGGTGCGGATGAAACCCAATCTTGAAGCAACATTTTACATTTCGAGTTTGAGAACCTCATCCCGAACATGCTTGCATTGTTGCTTAGGCTAGTCAGAAGACTCTTCAGTTTGTCAACGTCTTCACCAAGTAAGAATATGTCATCGGCATATTCCAAGTCAACTAATGAGCCTCCTGGTAAAAGGTCTACTCCTGCAAATTCAGACGAGGATAAGGTTATTTCTAAGAGCATGTCTATGATAAAATTAAACAAGAATGGAGAGAGTGGACATCTCTGACGGACACCACTTGAGGTAAAGAATTCCGGTGACAGTTTGCCATTAGCTCTCACTCGACCAGTGGTGTTCGAGTAAAGAGCTTGTAGAAGGTTAATGTACTTCTTCGGTACACCTTTCAATGATAGACACTGCCACAGAACCTCACGATCCACCGAGTCGAATGCCGCCTTTAGGTGCAAGAAGACAACTATTGTTGGCCACCTAAATGTGTGTCTGTGTTCTAGGACCTGTCTGAGTGTGAAGATGTGGTCTGTACAGCCGCGTCCAGGTCGAAAACCAGCCTGGTTTTCTCGAGTCTGCTCTTCACGAGCAAAGTATAATGGAGGCTAACAATTTGGGAACTATATTAGTTAGACTGATTCCCCTGTGATTGTCACAAGAAGACTTTTGTCCAGACATTATTACTACATCAGTGCGCTTAGCTTTTTGAAGGAAGCTGGAAAGCTTTCTACAAAATTCATCTTTCACCTTATATGAGCTGCAGCGTTCGAACTGTATTATATCCTGTACAAATCGTAATTTGTAATAACTTTCATGATTGTTTTATATTCGTAGTTGTCTACATCTGATCAACAATATGTATGTTTGCCTCAGATGAATCCTGAGATATTCGCTCTATTAAATAATAACTCAGTAAAAACAATAGAAAGTTTTCTTACAACTTATTTTTGTTTTCAGTCGAAACGATTAACTGCTGAACAGGCGCTAAATTCACCGTTCCTTATTGGTGGTAGAGCTAGATTTCATTCTTTCCTGTGCTGTTGTTGTCCACCGCGCAATCAGACTTCAATAATTAATGATTCATCTCAGTGGCGTAATGTAACAAGTCAAGTAAATCGTCATCTTGTAGCAGTTGGTTCCGCTGGTACTCCATCATCATCTGGTAATACACCACCATCTCCACTTCATTCATCTATGCTACCACCAAGTAGAGATGCAACATTACGTATTCCTTTGCTTTTGTCGCCTCAACTAATGATACCAACTTCTACCCTTATGCAACATAGACATATTAATTTAGAACCAACTTTTCAAGCTACACATGAATACACTTATTTAAATACTGAAATAGAAGTGAATAATCTCTTTGAAGCTAAACGTGAGTGTTTACTTTGTTGATTTCATCATTTGAAAGTAATTTATTCACAATGTATACCATTTTTTTTTAGTTTGTTCTACTTCTTATCACTTTAAATGAGTGTTGATCATATTATCTGACTTTCTAAACCAAAAAATGTAAAGTGTTGGGTTTCGCCCTACGCATTAATGATTAGAAACTAAGTGTTATTTAATTATTGTTCAGTCCACCGCTTTACTATTTTATTGCCAATACTATCGCCTGATTCGAAATCATAATTGTTGTAAAATCGAAAGAATTTTCTTTTATAGTATACATTTTTGAAGATACTGATTATTTATTCGTGTGGTCCACGCGATAACTTCAATCATTAGTTAGGAACGTCGGGTTAACACTTTTTAAAATTAGGTTATCGTAGCACAGACACATTCACTTTTTTTGTCTCAGTCTAAATCTTAAGTTTTAATAATTCCTTTAATGCAAATATTTCCACTGTGTCTTTTAGAACTATATTCCTGATATTCTCTGTTATATTTTATCTCGATTGCTTTGTTATTGATGATATAAATTCTGGCACTCAATTTAATTTGTTTGAAACAATCACTGATAGGTTAGGTCAGTATTTCATGCGCTTGAATTAAATCATAATGATTCATTCTTTGTGGAATTTATAATTAAATATAATGAAGGCGCCCCATTCTATAGCAGAACTAGACTATTAGTATGTTTGTTAGTTTTGATCAATGAGAAATTGTAAATTATGTCAAGACATTCCCAAATATCTGATGCCTCTTCGTCAGTAATAGTACAATATATATATATATATATATATATATATATATATATTGTAACAACAAAACTTACTCAGTGTATGCATACAAATGACATATTTTTCTAATATTTTTATTTCAATTGTTTACATTTGTACACAAATTGAAACCTCATATCGTCTTAGTTTGAATGTTATACAAATGTATATATATATATATATATATATATATATATATATATATATATATCCCTTTTGCTTGACCATTTATGTTTATTCTTATCGCTTGTTTCTATGGTATTATCCCTCTTTAATTATGCATGAAAATTTGGATTTATGTTAATGATATTTATTGTTATATTATCATTATTCACATTTCTACGCTTGTGTTTCATACAGTCTTGGTGGTATTGTTTTATTAGCTTAAAATTCAACCAAGAATTTATTAGATTGTTTACATTGTAGTTGAATTGTAAATTGTGTAATATAGTTTTAGGGAAATTCTTCATATTGTTATTATTACTAATTACCAAACCTTTGATTGATTTTGTATAATATTGAAACTTGACAAAATTAAAGTGTTTTAATGTTTTATATAGAAAAATCGAATATAAAATGAATCATTTTAATTGCCATCTGTTATTATTTAACATGAAAGTGGGAAGACAGAGCGTAGAATAGAGAGAGAGAGAGAGATTTTCACCAGTACAACTATCTTTATATATATATATATATATATATATATATATATATATATATATATATATGTATATATGATAGAGATGTCAAATTAATAAGGTTTAAACTATATGCAGTTAGATTAGATTTTATTCAGTTGTATTACATTGGGTGGAAGAGAATGTATTTATGATATTTTAAAAAAAATACAAAACTTTTCAAATTTATATACCGACTTGTATGATGTATTGATGAAAGTAACATATCATTATTCATCAATCATTAGCGTTAGTGATACTATTTTAAATGACATACTGTTCACAATTGAATTACAATGGAATACAATAATCTGTGTTTTATCTTTTGTATCTTATTATTAATGGTACATACATTATTTTGATATTTTTTTAAGAATATTATTGAATTTAAGTTTATCTTATTGTACTCACATAATATGACATTATTGGACCAGTGCAAATTCATACTTAACATCATGACTGACTGTTATTTCATCAATATAAGATTAACTACAAATGTAAACAGTTTTCTAACTTTTAAGTTGTAATGAAAGATTATTTTACTTTTAATATTGTTTTTATACATTCTTTATATTTAGAAATATTATGGGACCTTATTCAACAATATTTCCAAAGAGATCCTAATCGTACCCGAGTTGTAATAAACAATTCTTCGCCTAATTTTCAATCATTTATAAAGTAAGTATATTATAAAGTTTTTAAATTAATTATTTTTTTAATATTCCTTTTTCAGTAATTAAAATATGTGATTTTTTTTCTGTAAGGTCGTAAGTTTGAATTCTGTTTCAGCTAGTTTGATTTGCATAGTTGAATAACATCACTAGTATTCACTTAAATGTTGAAAAAAATATCTGTACTCAGCCCATGAGTATATCACGTACACATATTCTGTGTACGCCTATTCATTAAATATTCAATACATTACTTTTTTAAAAGTACATGTGCTTTGATGACAGTTCCTCTTGTATCTAATAACATCCGTATAATTACATCATATCTATCTTGTTGTCAGTCAGTCAGTTACAAGGTTGAACTTCGTACGTAAGTACATCAGTTCAGGTTGCCATGCCCCATCAGCACAGAGACGCAATTGTCAGTTAGAATCCCGTATTGGTAGAGATAGTAGAAGTATTACTGGTAATCGAGTAGATTAGGATTTGAAGATATTATTCAAAAAGTATAAGTCGGTGAGACAAGTTTAGAAAGACAAAGGTAAAGGTGTTGGCGAATCCAGAAGATTGGGATTTGAGAGAGCACAACGAGTGGATGTACCAGCTCACCATTGCAAACGATTTTGAGCCATGTCATTCAAGGTCTCTAACCATCGATAACTTCCGTCTCGTGTACTCCAACCAGAAAGCCTACATCTACCAACATGACTCAGTCCACTTGTCAGTGACTTCGTGGATTTCTGCATGTTTTGGTCTGGCCGCCCTTAACTTTCTTCCAGCCTAAACCTACACCATAAAACATAGCTCGTCGAGGCAGTCGGTGGTTGGGCATTCGTAACACATGTCCCAACCACCTTAACTGATGAAGTTTCAATACTTCATCAATTGATCTGCCATCCTTACCTATTACTCGTTTCCTAATGGCAGCATTGCTTACTCGGTTGTCCCACGATATACGAGTAATGCTTTGAAGACATTTATGATCGAATAGTAGTAACCTACGAATATCTTCTACTCTTACCGGCGATGTTCCGCATCCGTATAGGAGGATAGAGCGAACTGGTGCGCAGTACACTCGACATTTGGTTAGCAAAAGGATATCTCGCCTACGCCATAAATGACGACGGTTGGCAAAAGCTAATCGAGCTTTCTGTATCCTTTCTGAGATTTCGTCAGTCACCAGGCCATCAGCACTGATGAGTCTTCCGAAATAAGTGAAGTGGTCAACATGCTCGACTACTTCACTCGTTACCACTAGTTCAGATGCCGACGCAATCCAATCTTGAAGCAACATTTTGCATTTCGAGGGTGAGAACCGCATCCCGAACAAGCTTGCATTGTTGCTTAGGGTAGTCAGAGGAAGACTCTGCATTTCGTCAGCAGAGTCTTCTTTCTTGTTGTCTAGAACATGAATAAGATTAACCTCTTGGTAGTTCTCACTTATACTCTTCTGTGTGCAGTATCATTAATCTTCGTTATTTCTTTTCTATATATATATACTTATGAATAAGTATAAGTATTCCGTAGAGATTCGCTTATATAATATTCTAAAAGCATATGATATTTCGGTATTCACATCTCTTTTCAAGTTAAGTTAACGACAGGTACGTTCATGTACTAGATTTTTTTGTCATACTGAATTGATATGGCCTTAAAATTTTACCTAACCGCTTAAATTTCATCTCAAGAGAAGAATATTATAACTAATGAACATTAACGGTTAATAAATCTTTAAATCAATCGACCTTAAATCTTATTTTGCTAACAAGTTGAGTAGATTTAAACCACATTGATTGTTGTCGATATTTACTTTTCTTATTTGCTTTGACTATTACTAAATATAACATTATTTTGTGACTGCGTTAGATTCGAAGTACGGCTCACTACTTTAGTGGCCCGCGATCTGACTGATATATATAAATGATCTAGTATGCGATGAGATAATTCTCCTCTTCTACTTAGGCGAACCTCATTCGTGTGACGGTGGTAATCAGAAGCCAAATACAGATATGCTTGGATAAGTTTATTTCGTACATACATTTAAGCAGACAGACAAGTGAAGTACGAAAGACGAGCGATCCAACTCAATATAGTCAGGTTTGACTAAGTATTTATAGTCAGACAAAGCTAGACATGACATAAGCTAAATAAATGGCACACAATGAAATAAAAATAACTATGACAAAAGCACGTAGTTGGCAAAGTCAGTAGTAGTGTGAATAACTCGGGTAGAATGGATTGATTAAATTGTCCGAAAGTTGAGGCAAACCCTGTGGGCTCGACATAAAAGTACACACTACAAATAACAGCTATTATTCACTTCAGACTATTGTCCCAATTCTCCGCCTGTAGACCCTTCTGGGCTACTGCCGGTCCCATGCCCGCATAAAGGAGGAGGGGGTTGGGCATGGGGTTGGCGCCCCCATCCCAACTAAAAACTAACTTGCCAAAAAACACTAACCAGAACAAATAATTCAAACCATTTTAACTCTTCCCAGGGAGTTGGAAGAAGAATTATGACGTCGCATGACGAAAGCCGAGTTCCCTCGGAAGTCACGGGGCCGATGCTTCTTCTGACAACCAGAGCAACCATTCTTTCAGGTACATGGAACGTTCGTACGTTGTGGGAGACTGGAAGACTATTTCAAGTTGCGGTAGAAATGAAAAGATACAACCTCGAGGTGCTCGGCATCAGTGGAACGCATTAGACACAGGCAGGACAACGGAGACTAGCTTCAGGGGAACTGCTGTTATACTCTGGTCATGAAGAGGAAAATGCTTCACATACACAAGGAGTTGCACTGATGCTGTCCAAACAAGCAAAAAAGGCACTGATAGGATGGGGATCTCATGGACCGAGGATCATCAAAGCATCCTTCAAAACAAAGAAAGCGGACATTACAATGAACGTCATCCAATGTTATGCACCTACCAATGACTACAATGACGACGTTAAAGATCAATTCTACGAAAGGCTGCAGTCAATCGTCGACAGATGCTCACCAAACGATTTGAGGATTCTGATGTGAGACCTAAATGCCAAGGTTTGCATGTATAATACTGGATATGAAGCCATCATGGGACGACATGGACTGGGAGAAAGGAACGAAAACGGTGAGAGATTTGCAAACCTATGTGTCTTCAACAAACTGGTCATCGGTGTCACAATATTCCCTCACAAACGTATACACAAAGCCACATGGATTTCACCGGACCACACTACTCAAAACCAAATTGACCATATCTGTATCAACAAAACGTTCAGAAGGACCATGGAGGATGTAAGAACCAAGAGAGGAGCTGATATAGCCTCAGATCACCACTTGCTAATCGCCGAAATGAAACTGAAACTAAAGAAGCACTGGACAACGGGACAGACAACATCACAGAAGTTTAATACAGCCTTTCTTCGGGGTACCGTAAAACTCAACGAAGTCAAGATGGCCCTCAGCAATAGGTTCCAGGCCTTGCACAATATACTCAATGGAGAGGAAGCAACATTGGAGAACAATTTGAAAGGGATCAGGGCGGCAATCACTTCAACATGTCAGGAGGTCGTGGGTCACTAAAAGCATCATCACAAGGATTGGATCTCTGTTGGCACTCTTGCAAAAATTGAAGAAAGGAGGAACAAGAGGGCAGCAATCAATGTCAGCCGAACAAGAGCAGAGAAAGTTACCGCGTAAGCTGAATACACAGAAGCAAACAGGGAAGTGAAAAAGAGCAGCAGAGCTGACAAACGAAAATATGTGGAAGATCTAACAATGACGGCGGAAAAGGCTATAAGAGATGGAAAGTTGAGACTATGGTACGAAACGGAAACTATCGTAAACCAGAACGACCAGTGAAAAGCAAGGAAGGCAAAGTAATCAGCAACACTGAAGAACAGCAAAACAGGTGGGTAGAGCACTTTAAGCAACTCTTGAATCGACCAGCTCCACTGAACACACCCGATATCGACGCAGCATCCACGGACCTCCCAATTAATATTGGCGTACCTACAATTGAGGAGATCAGCATAATCATCAGACAAATCAAGAGCGGCAAAGCAGTAGGATCAGACAACATTCCAGCAGAGGCAATGAAAGCAGATGTAAAAGCAACTGCGAAAACATTTCACATCCTCTTCAAGAAGATTTGGGATGAGGAACAAGTACCATCAGATTGGAAAGAAGGATACCTGATCAAAATACCAAAGAAAGGCGACCTGAGCAAGTGTGAGAACTACAGAGGCATCACTCTTCTTTCAATACCAGGCAAAGTCTTCAACAGGGTATTGTTAAACAGAATGAAGGACTTCGTAGACGCCCAACTTCGAGATCAACAGGCCGGATTTCGTAAGGATCGATCGTGTACTGACCAAATTGCAACATTACGGATCATTCGTGAACAATCAATCGAAAATAACTCACCACTCTACATCAACTTCATTGACTACGAGAAAGCATTTGATAGCGTGGATAGGAAAACACTGTGGAGGCTTCTTTGACACTACGGTGTGCCTGAGAAAATAGTTAATATCATACGGAATTCTTATGATGGGTTCAACTGCAAACAGCTGACAGACTCGTTCGAGGTTAAGACCGGTGTCAGGCAAGGTTGCTTACTCTCATCCTTTCTCTTTCTCCTGGTCATCGACTGGATTCTGAAGAGGTCGACGTCTGGAGGGAAGCTTGGTATCGACTGCACAGTTAGGACGCAGCTGAATGATTTGGACTTCGCAGATGACCTGGCTCTTCTATCGCACACGCAACAACAAATGCAAGACAAGACAACCAGTGTAGCAGCAGTTTCTGCTGCAGCAGTTCTCAACATACATAAAGGGAAAAGCGAAATTCTCCGATGCAACACAACATTCACCAACCAAATCACTCTCGATAGAGATGCCTTGGAGGACGTTAACAACTTTACATATCTGGTCAGCATCATCGACATTGAGGGTGGATCCGATGCAGATGTGAGGGCACGGATTGGCAAAGCAAGAGCTGCATTTCTACAATTGAAAAATGTCTGGAACTCCAAACAAATATCAATCAACACCAAAATCAGAATTCTCAATACAAATGTCAAGATAGTTCTTCTGTATGGAGCGGAAACTTGGAGAACTACGAAAAGCATCATCCAGAAGACACAAGTGTTTATTAACAGCTGTCTACGCAAAATACTTCGGATCCGTTGGCCAGACATCATCAGCAACAACTTAATGTGGGAGAGAACAAGTCAGATTCCAGTGGAGGAGGAAATCAGGAAGAAGCGGTGGAATTGGATAGTCCATACTACGAAAAGAACCCAAATGCCTCACAAGTCACTCTCTCTTGGTACCCTCGAGGTAAAAGGAAAAGTGGAAGGCCAAAGAATACATTACGCAGAGAAATAGAGAAGGATATTAGAAGAATGAACACAAACTGGACGGAACTGGAAAGGAAGGCCCAGGACAGAGTTGGTTGGAGAATACTGGTCGGTGGCTTATGCTTAGGTGTAAGTTAAATAAACTATTTTCCATACTCTTATCCAATGTCTTATATTATTACATTAATGAATTGTTTACGCTTATCTTTTCACGATTGATTATGTTGAGGTTTAATAATAATTGTAAAAGTATCATATATATATCTATAAGATTGAAAACCAAATTATTTAGATCAACATTATGAAAGCTAATTAGTTATGGAATTTCATATTGAAGTATAAAAACTTTAACTGATTATTTATTATTTGAATGTTTTGTATAACACCATTAAATTATTGTCTTAATTTTCAAGATTATTAATAAAAATAAATTCTGTGTTCATTAAAAGGAAACTGTGACATACTTAAACTTGAATGAAATGTTAACTTTCTTGTTTTTATAGAATCAATTAATTTCTATACTGTCTTCTTTAGTTTTGTTCTTCTCCTTTGGCTTAATGAATGACACATTTATTGATTGTGTTTATTTTTGTTTTACTTATTTTCATAGATCTTCAATTGCATTCACTTAATTAACCCCCCAACAATCCGTATATAATGGAGACAATATAATACATATATATATATATATATATGCATGTCTTTTCACCTTCCATTGTATCCTTAAGTCGACCGCAACTTTTTTTCTTGACCACTATTTTTGTTAATTTTTTTTTTCCTCCTATACTGATACTGCACATACCAATGGTTTTTTATTTTTTCTTTCTAAAAAAAAAAATAATGTATATGATTGTTGTTTAATGAACGACAAATACTCTTCCCTACTGTGTTGTTTATTGTGTTTATTGTGTTGTTTCCTCTTCCAGTGCCTTTCATTGTTAATTTTCTATTGAATTTTCCTTTTTTTTTCAGTTTTGATTGTATAGTTTTCTTCTTTAGGAAGAAAAATTTAATCTTATTGCACATGATTTTCTAATTGGCTTTAATTAATTAATCTTATTGCACATATTTTGTGTAAAGCAAATAAAACTTGCTCTCTCTCTCTCTATACGTATTGCAAAAAGTTGTTTATATTCTGTCTGTGTGTAAAACTAGTAAGAATGTATATATCTTTCAAGTTTTTGGATAAATTTTTTTGTTTTATTTATTGAATTATTATTGTATGATTACGTAAATTGTTCCCTTTTTTTTCAATCATTAGGCTGTGTTGTCTATGCTTCAGTTTTGTTCAATGTAGTTTATTCTTACTGTCTATTATTATATCTCTCTATGTATGTTTCTTTTTTTGGTTATTTATGTTATATTCTCACTTTATATATATGTATGTATATATATATATAAAACAGGCTGTGATAAATTTCAAGTCAAACAATCTCAAATTTATTTTCTAGTTAAATTTATTCAATGCATATAACTGTATAAATTTTTGCACTTATCGTTGTTATCCTAGTCATCATTTCTGCATCTCTACTCGACACGTTGCATACATTGTTTTGTTCCGTTTTTTGTTACACAACACCCGCTTCTTTCTTTAACTCCTACGTCTGATACAATGCTACATTGAACTAATTTATTAACGTTAATGGATGCTTTATTTTAATGAATTAAATTTGTTAACTGTTTGTAAAATCTATCTATCGTTTCAAATTTGAATAGTTAGGGTTATATCTTGTGTTATTCGACAAACTTATTTGTTCGTTTTGTAGTAAATGAATTCATGATGAATATGGGTACTTGTAATTTCTAGACAAACAATGTAATTATCATTGTTATTCACAGGTAACTAACTATCTTTAATTTTTATTGGATTTTTGAAAAAAAAAACTGTTACGTGTTTACATATCAGTGTTTCTACAAGTAATCAGCAAATGTCTTTCAAAATGATTTCATGTATTTTGATCTAATATTAATTCTTTCAATGTCTAGTTTCATGACAGCCAAATAAACCAGCACAACCGTGATCTCTAAATGCTTGTGATTGGATTGTAGTTTTTCGGAAGGGTCATTTGTTAACTAGATTGTTTTAGCGATTCAAACCATTTCCCTGGAAATGTTCAAACCACTCATATAATAAACTTGGTAACTATTTTATTTCTGTACTTATACATTTCGCCATTGATGATCTTCAAAGGTATACTAACTTTCAGGATTCAATGTTGTAACCAAATCCGTTACTGCATATCAGCTTCCGATAAGCAGTTGTTAGCTAAACTATTTTATATACGATTCATTCAGATTTAACATCTTGTCTGTTGTATGTCTTGCGAAATTCATCCCTTATGGCTTAAAACCACTCATACTATAGCTGATGTTGATTCGTGAAAGAATTCTTATTCCTCACCTAACTCTTAATTCTAACTATCCACAGCACAGTAACAGTTAAGCTTCAGCGTTGATAGCACCTCTAGAACTGACAGACCTAATATTCAAATACATTCCGAAAATTTAGTAGATCAAGCTAATCATGCTCTGGCATTTTCACAAGTACTTCAGTATTTTAACCCATGGTGCTAAATTTTTTTCTTAAACTCATTAGCACACAAATAAGTGCTAACAACTTTTCAACCCGTAGTCATATTAAACATCTAAAATTCTAAAGGAATTATATTTTAACTTGAGGTCTGTCAAAGGATTTTTGCAGAGTTGCTTGATTATTTATGTTATTTAAATAAGATATGCGGAATTTCCCAAACCTGGAAGAGAGATAAATATCATCTCGCGCCTATATAAATCTCCTGAAGGGCGTGAGCCAGGATTTCCATTACATCATATTTTGAATATATCTAATCCACCCTAAAACTGAGTTGTTCAATAATAGGAACTAGTTGGAATTGTATAAATTTTCTGTTCATGATACTTTCCAATCTAGTGATAATATTACAAGTGTTGATGATCGATGATAGTTCTCTATTCATCAGTGTACTTTTAACTGAAACCACATGATACATGTGTGATAATACTGATTCCAACGATACAAATGTCTGACAAGCAAATTGACCTAATTATTATTTTGCATTCTTCTAACACTTACCATCGGTCAGATAATTAAACGCATCGAAAAATTCTGTGCTTATGTACATTGGTTCAAGTTGCCTTACCACATTAGTACTGCGAAATAAAATTGTTAGGGTGAATCTAAGATATAGCTAAGGGTAGCAACCATATCAGTAGTAATGATTAGGATTAGGCGGTTCATCAATGTAAAGGTTATTGAAGCCAAATGAATTCAAAAGCTTGAAATCTAACGGAAGATGATTCGTGGATATACTTACACCAATTTATTCAAAGTAACCTAACACTTAGGAAGTTAATCCTATAGACCTCAACCATATAGTCTCAGTCTGCTTAGATAATTCATTTTAATCGCCGATGGCGATATGGGATGGTGCGTCGAAAACAGACTTAAGTCGGTACGTAACACGCACTCATCAATTGACTTGCCATTCTTACAGAATAACCTGTTCCTAGCCCAACGATTACCTGTCCGGTGACCCCAAACATAGTTGGTTAGAAATCATCGCCCCCACTATCAGTGTTTACTAATCAGTAACTCCGCCCACCCTCCTTTGACCATACTAGACTTTTTAAACTCATTATAAGATTAAATATGTCCTACTGGAAGCTCAGTGTTTCATATACCGTTGAAACAATATTTCTATACGTACCATGCTACAAGTTCATCTAGGTTGTGGGTTACGGATCGATACAGTACTGTACGTTATTGTAGGATAAAGTATAATTTTACAAATGTTTACCGAACTAGTTGGTAAAGTGGAAATATAATAGGATTAGTTAAAAGGAGGACTAACGAGATGAGATTAATAGTTGATCAATAAAATCCATATGAAGTTAGTAAACTAATGAGAAATAGACAAGAAGGTCGACTATATTTGGGAAGTGGAAATAGATGCAGTGAGTTCTGTCTGTTTCGAGTAAATATGTTTGTATGTACAACTTCAGTGATTCAGACATACATAATTTGAAATATAAGAAGAAATAATATTAAACGATAGATTTTACGCATCTTGTATAGAATGATTCTAAAAATTTTTCTGGGGAGGTTTCAAAGAATAGAACCAAGAGGACTTTGCATTTTATGAGCTTGGAACTATCCAAATGCTGTCATCATTTGTTTGTTTATAATCGGCGCAGTAGTAACTGTAAGTTTTAGCATTTGAAGAATATGAATACTTATGACCGTTGGTTGCTTGTAACTTCTGATTGACGTTTGTGGGACAGACTGGTCCGTAGCACATAAGTTTATCTTCAGTAAGCAGCTGCAGTGAGCGTTCATATCATGTTTAGGGTTTGCTTCACAGTCCACCTGCTCCAGATTGTCCTGTGAATCTCACACATTAGTTTTGCTAATAGATGGTTTCATCGCTCTTCTTCAGCGGAGCCAGGACTGGTTCGTTTCTAATCAAGAATTCTTCATTCATGATTATACATACCAAACGTTATGGTGGTTGACTGTTTCTCTACATTAAAAAATATTTCTAACTCTTCAATGAAATTGAAGAACCAATTTCATGTCGTATTTTCTACTCATTTGTATGCACTCAGAATTTCAATTTCATTGTAAATAAGGCTGCTCCTGAAAATTATATTGTACATACTCCTGTGTATAAAGTCTCTGATGAACTTACCGGAATTGAAAAATTATGGATTTACATGAGCATAAATATAAAAAAGTGGTTTTGCTCAAATGGTTTATCAAGACTTTTAATTGGAATATTTGTTCAACTGATGGTTTTGAGATGAGCAACAACAATCACGTCATTAATACTAAGTGATAAACAAAGAGAAAGTTTAGGCACTCATCTCTTTTCTAAGCCTATATTCACTACATGAACCAAAATGGCCGATGAGGGATTAATGCTCAGGTCTTGTTACTGTAAGACAGTCTCATTATAAGAATTGGGGGAGGGGGCTGAATTGGAAACGTCACAGTTCCTATTCAATGGATTGAATGGAATCTTAGTCGAGTTTTCATTGCCACATTAATTTGGCAAAAAACAGTCTTAAATCCTGGGGAGCTTATTAGATTACTTCACACTTTATGTAGACGTAAACATTCGCACATTTCACAGATAGCAAGAATTTTGACTGCCCTTATATTGTTGCGATGTTTCTCTGTTAATACAAAGTTTTCTGACCTGTTAATTTATATGCAATGCATAATGAATCACCAGTCATTCTGATCAGTCCTCAATGTTTGCCTTGTACCACGGGTTATACGCTTCTAATGACGTCTAATATATAAGATATTGTGTTTTTTGTTGTAAAGAGAGTAATTTTCTAGAATCATTCGTTTGTAACTAGCATGCACATCAGTTCTCTAACCTATTTCCTTATGCATCTTACCCCAAAATGAAGCATAAGCTTGTAGTGGAACGCTTCTACGAAGAAAATATGATTTGTGAAAAATAAACATTATTGCACTAGTTTTGTTTAACTGTACCAAAAACACTTCTACGACTTCTTGCGCGCAACATTCTTTTCGCGTTGCTGCTATTTTTCTTTATTTGCTGTTCCACATGTAGTGCCTACTCTCTCCTTCAATAAAACCTTGGACCATGGATTTATTCTAATTTCAATGATGGCGAGATATTATGGAACACTTAGTGGTGAGCATAGTCAATCCGGTATTCTGACTCGCTCGCTACAGGCTGCCAACCTGCGAATTGTTTTTATGGTTAGCATTTTCCGTAGCGAATCGGATTTCTATGGCATGCAGTCGCTAACCCCATGTTAAACCGTCCTGCTTTATCCGGATCTGGGGCCAGCTGTAACTCATGAAGGCTCCAGACGGAGTTATGAATTCTCGAAGTCGAAGTGAAAACCTGTAGTTGGTAGTCCAACCTAATCGGTAATCAATGTTTCTATCTTCGATGATGGTAAATTGTCATGCAAAATCACATTTTGGTAAGAGTTGGATTGACTCTATGATCAAAAGGTATTATCATTTCTAACATTCTCTATAGACCGCGTATGGTGCTTCCTCTCTATTATCAAGGGCCACAAAACTATAACAGACCACTTGTCCTGCATCTACTGTCGGTTTTTAAAGAAACTCTGAATCGTAATAAGGTTCTCATTGGTGATAATAATCATTTAGATAATCCCAAAACTTGTGCAGTCTAATCATTCGACGAAATTAACATAACCATCTATTAAATTTATTCCGCTTCACCAGGTTTTATGAATGATGTCTACCTAAATAGTGAACAACACGAGGCAGTGCTCATTTTATTATGTGTCTTTTATGTGAGGATAAAAATAACATTTTTAGTGGCTTGTTTTAGATTTGAAGTAGTGCTCATCATTTTAGGGGCCTGCACTCTACCTCCTGTTTAGGCAGAGGGTTGGGTATGCGATTGAATGAATCTCTTTGATATCTGTATAACATTCTTAGCCGCACCGTGTTTGTGCAATGGTATTAAGACAATTACGAATTCGTTTAGATGGCTTTATTTCATGCAGTAGCTCACACAGGCAGATATATGTACACGAGCCGTTAAGGCAAAGCGAGTGAACCTACTTCATGAAATGAAGTATGTCTAAGTATTTATAGTCAGACAATAATCAGCTAGACGTGTAGTATGAGAGGTGGGTGGTTTTATATTCATATAATGACAACTATGGTTACAAGCGAATTATCGACAAAGTCAAAAAGCATGTGATAATGACTAGTTAAGAATGGGTTAGTTAATTTTTCCAAGTGCTAGGATAAGCCTTGTGTCCTCGGCTTATTACGCACTACACATCCATTCAACTTTCAATTTGGAACCGTTTTTATTAGTCGTCTTCAGTATTGTAAACTGTAGACCTGAAGCAATCCAACGAAATACCAATTTATCTATCACAGCTACAAGACACAGGCAACAGCTGGGACTTAATGTTGGCGATATAAAATCGCATATCAGTATTATATCAGATTTCAACTCAACATATTTAATTCGGCAGTAAATGTGCTCATTGTTCACCAGATAAACTAGTTAAAATTCCCTATCATTTGATCGGTAACAACTGCAGATCGGTTCGGAGAGTATTTGTTTACACTATGAAACTTGTATTCTCACATAGCATTTATGCCA